CTCATCCAAATATCTAAATGAGATTATGGCTCAAGCTTTACGTCCACGTGTGCAGTCTGTGTGCTGAGCATGCCCAGCAGCGAGTTGATTGATACTGGGTTGTAATTAATGAATACTGCCGGTGTGACCAACCTGGTCTTTGGTGGAGCAGATGCTGTTTGCAGTTGGAGCCACCCCAAAGTAAATGCCCCTCCCTTGGCGCAGAACACCCCTGCGGTATTAACCAGGGCTGATGGAGAACTGCAGCCTTTGTGTCGAAAGGTGTGAGGGAGGGAATAAACCAGAGTATTTTATCCCTTTGAAAAGGTGGTTTTTTCCTGTTTCTTGACATATATGAGTATTATTACAGAGTATGAATTCTCTGTAAACTCTTGTTCTTAGTTTTGTTCCTTACTTCAGTGTTATAAAACTCTGAAGACAACTTTGATGATTGCAGTGCTTCTGTATTTGCAACCTTGTGATTATCCTTTAAACTTGCCCTGGATTAACACACTGTTTGCACTTTTTTTTTTCATCACAGCCAATTAACTGGCATTGGATAAATTAACTGTTTGATTTCTCTTACTTATGACACCAATTCAGTTAAGGAAGAAAAGCCCTTGAGTTAAATGTGAGGATGTCTTGAAGGAAGTCAAGGTGTTGTAAACATGTTTTGGAAATCCACTGATGTCTGGCTGAAAAGTGGTAGGTTTGGATCTCTTTTTTGATGGGCTACGTGTGGAGGGTTCCTCGGGCAGACCTTCACCTTCAGTGGTTTTGCCTTCTGGTGTCTGGGAAGATGGAGCAATGCTGGTGAGGGTGCTGGTGAGCTTGTGCAAGGACAGGCTTTTGAGTGCCTGATGTGGCTCAAGAGGGGTGAGAAATCGGCTGTTAGTCCTACGCTTGTACCCAGAGATTGGCCAAGATCCTCTTTCCTTTAACAGCGTTGCCAGTAAAACTTTTGGCAATGTGAGTGTTTTGGGGTTGGTTTTGTTTTGTTTTAAACCAAAAAATGTGTCGTGTACCTGGGATCCATTCCCCTGCCCCAGAGCTGAGGGAGTGGGAGGTGGCAAGTAGGAGAAGGTTCCAGCGGGTGGGCAGGGCGGCAGCAACGCTGCAATTTCATAACGCAAGTTATAAAGTCCAAGATGATGATTGCTTGAGTGAACTCAGGCCAAAGCCATGCCCTTTCTGGATTAAGGATGAAGAGAAATACCAAATAGGATTTAGTAAGATGTGGGAACGAGTAATGAACATTGTTTTCTGGTGTGGATGATTTGAATGATGCTCAACTAGTTCATGTGCTCGGTACATCCAGATCAGCAGTTAATGGGTTATAAAGTCCAAGATGATGATTGCTTGAGTGAACTCAGGCCAAAGCCATGCCCTTTCTGGATTAAGGATGAAGAGAAATACCAAATAGGATTTAGTAAGATGTGGGAACGAGTAATGAACATTGTTTTCTGGTGTGGATGATTTGAATGATGCTCAACTAGTTCATGTGCTCGGTACATCCAGATCAGCAGTTAATGGTGGTTAAAGAATACACACAGGTGAGTTCAGTGGCAGAAGCTTCCGTGAACTTACCGCTTTTTCTTCTTTCTTCGTATCGAGCAGGAGAAGAGGCTGGAGATTGGGGCTGAGTCAGTTGTGTAGTGAAATCCCCCACTAAAGGGACTGTGCAGCCTGGCAAGCTCTGCACAGATAATGACTCGAACCATATAGAATGAGACTTGCTAAAAATAGAAATACTATGCTGTGTTTTAGGCCTGTTTTTGAATTTCTTTTGATTTTTTTGAACTTTTTCCTCTAGATGTGGAAATTAAGGTGACTTTGGTCCTTGCTGCGGGGGCGTTAGTTTTGTCTCCCTTAGCCTGGCTCTGCTCCTCCTGGGAGTCCACACTTTCCCTCAGGCCTCCTGGGAAGAGGGAAAGGGAAATGACAGCAGGATCCTCTTGGCAGCAGCAGGTACAAGTCAATGAGTTCTTCATCTTCCAGGCCCAGGCCTGGTGTGCAGGGAGGGAGGAGCAGAGATGCTGTCCTCTTGCCCAGGGGGTTGGGTAGGGGTGGCAGGAGTTTGGCTGCACTGAGATGCTCCGGGCTCTTTTATCTTGTGGGAAAAGGTTTAAATCTGGCATGTAGGTGTGGATGTGGGAGAGGGAGAAGCAGTTCTGCCTCCCTGCAGCTCTGACTCCATCTGCAGTGGTGGTGGGAGTGGTGTTGGGGCAGAGCTCCTTCCTACCAGTCAGCATCGGGACTGGGAGAGAACAGAGCTTCTCCTGCCAGTGTGGGATGGGGCTGGTGTCTGTTCTGACTTGGGTGAAAAACCTGAGGACCAGCAAATTTTGTATATAACTTTGACCACAGTAGTAAATTTTAAGTAGTGGATTTTCAAGGTTTGTTGTAATTACAAGTGGTCTGAAAACTTAGTTTTGCAGTTTCTTTCTGCTGAAGTTAATTGCTGGCAGTGTTGATTTAGTAGGAATGCCTTAGTCTTCTGCTTTCCAAAGGACCTCTGCTGCTTACGTTTCCTGAACACAGGCACATTTATCTTCTGTTACGTTTGCTGGCTGTGGAAGGCAGGAATCTGACTGGGAAGTTGTCCGAGGTACAGAATTAAGGAAGCCCCACTAACTTCATTTATTTACACATTTAATGCTAGTGTGATCTTAATACCTTAGTGCTATCGTATTGTAGGTACTTAAATATCCCTGTGTAGAGGTTTAGAAGATTAGATACGAACGAGTCTAGCTTGAATCACATTCAAACTATTGACTCTTAATAAAAAAGTTAAAAGGATTAAGGAAAACCTAAACCCAATCCCCATACAGTCAAAAGGACTAGCCCTGGAGATGTTTGTCATTTTCTATCATGCAGAGGACTGGGGAGGAGTGGTGAAAAGTGTGATTAGCTGGTATATTTCTGCTGACTAATTCTGCATTGACCTGGCAGGGATAGCCAGATCAGCTCTGTGATCTCAAGTGGATCTTTGCTCTGATGTTCCTTTCATGGGTCAGTGTTGGTACTACAGGTTTTTTCCTCAGTCCCAAGAGTTCTAGTAAATGTTGATACAATTTTGAAAGATGATGCTTGTCTCTGTAAAAAAAAAAAAAAAAGATCTTTGTTAATATTTAACCCTCTATTTTAAAAATGTAGATGTGAAATTCTTAGTTAAGATTATAATCTTTTAAATGTATAGCTGTATGTAATTAATTCACAGTCTTAGTGTATTGATGTAAATGAACTACTCAAAGACAGGGTACTCCTATTCCGTGCATTTAATAGTAAAATGACATAGATTCCAACTGTTCCAGTTGGGTTTAACCCATCAGTATCTGTAATTAAATCTGGTATTTGTCTCTGTTTAAATCCTTCATGTATAAGAAATGGGGCTACAGTCTTAAGAATAAGCTTTTTAAGCCTCAAACTTTTAAAACAAGTTTGCCATTAATGTCAAAACGATCCACGTAGTTTGCTTGACTCCTTCCAGTGTGCACGTCCCCCTCAGCCTTGATGTTCACTTGCAGTGACATGAGTTCAGCTGGTTACCAGATAACTGGAGAAAAAAGGGATTTTTCACATATAATTTAAAATTCATAGGCTTGATATCAGCATCGAGTTGCTGATATCTATGCAGCTAATGGTTTTACCTTGTTTAAAATGCAAATGTTTAGGAAATACAACAAACCTGTGACCTTAAAAATTTAATTATCACATCAAAAATGTAAACTCATAATGTAGGTTTATTCTGGTTTTGACATTCTTTTAGATTTCACTGTATTCATAGTAGCAAACAATGGCAAAATGAAGCCAAATGAATAAGAAATTACAGTAAGAGGCTAAAATGTTATTAAGGTAAAAAGACTTAATATTTTAAAAACCAAGAGATAGGTTGAAGTCTTCTTGTCTAGAATGGTGTAGCTGGTTTTGCACAGCTTTCAAAGTAATGCTGTAGCAATTTATTTTTTTTTTTAATCAAGCAGCTGTCTGAAAACTTGAAATAATGATTTTCTAAGCAGATGCCATTTTCAGTCCAGACTGTAAATTATGTGGAAGAACATCTATTTCTTTCCTGGAAGTACCTACTAGACTTTTTGCGGATCAGTAAGGCACATTTGTAAATTTCTTGACATGAAATATAGCACATTAAAGGAGTTAGTAGCATCTTATTTATCATCTTACTTTGTTTACTCATTTAAGTCTCAACGCGTTACCAAGCTCAAGGGGAATGTTTTTGGGGTGGGTTCGTGGGTTTTTGGGTTTTGTTTGGTTTTTTTTGTGCATATGTTGCAACAATTTGATGTATTTCTGTTGACTCAACCAGTAAGACCAAACTGCGAAATAAAATTGGTAAGAGAGGGGAGATTTGCAGGTTTTTTAATCTGCATTTTTGCAGCAGGAGAACACTGTGTATGGTCTAAGGCAAAAGGTACGTGATTGCCAGAACTTCACTGAAATTATTGCTTTGAGTAGAAATGTCTTCTGGGAGGAAGGAAGACCTGGAAACAACATTAAAGTTTGGGGTTAGAGTATGTTGGGGAATGGGTGCCAATAAAGGTGTTTCAGCAGCAAAAATAAACCCAAATCTGCAGTAGAAGTCAGGCACTGAATGGGTAAAATTGCAGATGTTTGGGGGTTGTGGAGGAGAAAAAGCATTTCAGAACTGAATGGGAGATGTACAGCGTGGGTTGAAATAGCTCAATGATTCAAGCAGGTGAAATGGTTTGAAATATTAACTTGCCTGAGGACTTTGTGGATTTTTTTTCCCTTTTTTTTTATTACTGCATAAACTGTCCCTGCTAGAAGCTGGCTGTGGATTGTCAGTCACAGCTCTCCGAAGCGCGGGGTGTCCGAAATGGGACAAACATCTTGGCAGGTTTGAGGAGTTACAGTCAGCAGGGTTTTCTTAACTAAAATCATTCTTTTGGCAAAACAGGTCCAGGGGCTAAATTCTGTGTGCTTGCATCCCTCCTCCTTTCCTTCTGTGACCAAAAATCATCATTTTGTTTGTTTGTAGCAACATGAACCGTGAAGACCGGAATGTGCTGCGTATGAAAGAAAGGGAAAGGCGAAATCAAGAAATTCAACAGGGTGAAGAAGCCTTTCCACCTAACTCTCCTCTCTTTGCTGAACCATACAAAGTTGTGAGTTTATGCAGTTCTACAAACGCAGTTTTTTATCGCAGAAGTCGTATGCAAATTTGTATTTTAAATTTAGTTATAAATAAATTAATAATAAATTAATTTTTATTTTAAAATAAAATTTATTTATTTTTGTCTGCAGTCTTTTTAGATCCACAGCTCTTAGGTCAGCCAGGTTTGGAAGCAGGGCTTGAATGTGAGGATGGACAGTTACTAAGCAGCTCTTCTGGCAGATGTGTAGTGATGCTTGCAGAGGAGAGGCTGCTGTGCAGGGCGTGAGGGAGGGGATGATAAAACCATACATTTTCTTCTACTTTTGCTACGGTGACTCAAAACAATTGAACTGTCCATTGTGTCGTGCCAGATTGCTTTTTTTTTTTTTGGGGGGGGGGTGCTTTAGCCTGTTGTTAAACTTTCTAACCTTCAATTAATGTAATCCAGATCTGGGTAAGCTCAGAAAGAGAATGTTTAAATAGGAAGTTAATTTTAAATGCTGAAATGCATGATATGATAGAATTATCAGCTTTAAGGAGTGTGCCAGTTGTTTGTATCTGGTTTTTTTAGTTTGTTTTGAAGGCATTGACTCTGTTTATGGTCTCATACGGCTTCAAGCCTGTGCTAAATTTCCTTCTGTGTTTGATTTGCTGAACAGAACTGGAAAAAATAACCTAATTCTGTGAGAGCTAAAATAATGGACCATTTAAGATTTTCATTATGTAACTCAAAGCTTACTTTTAAAGCAAACCTGTTCCCTTATCACAACTTCAGCTGGTTTGCAAGAAGTAAAACATTGTGACTGAAAACTGTGCTCCTGTAGGAGGAAAGTTGAGAGATTTTTAAATTATTATTCCCATCCTCCCATCATTTTATGGTGCTTGATAACCAAATCCCACAGGGATGAGGTTAACTAAGGCTGGTTGAGGTGCACGGATAACGATGCAGTGTACTCATTTGGGAACAAACTGATTAGATAAAAATGAACCCTTTACATATAATATTGTTGGCAACAAGAATTATGCTGGTATAAATACCCATTAAGAATTACCTGCAGTGATGATGTTAAGCTGATGTTATTTTACTGTTAATTAAAACTTTTTAGGACTAATGCATTGTGTTTAGAGAAATAGTCTTTAAGGTGAGCGTTTTAAGGTGACAATAGGCATCTACAGTTTCTAAACTTGCATCCAGCATTATTTGAACCACTGATCAGTGCTGTTTCAACTGTTCCTGCTGCTGAAATACATCTTTTCCTTATGCTTTAGTGGGTTAAGTTACTGCTTTAAGAACTAATTGGGAATTGGAAACAATGGCAAAAAAAGACTTGGATGTTAGCTATGATCTTAGCCCTGAAATTTAGATTATCTGCAGTAGTTGGTCAATTAACTGAAAGTGAATTGGTGATTTTTAATGCATTATTTTTTTTTTAAATTCTTTTCACAGACCAGCAAAGAAGACAAATTGTCTAGTCGTATTCAGAGCATGCTTGGTAATTATGATGAAATGAAGGATTTTATAGGAGACAGATCGCTAGAAAAGCTCGTTGGAATTCCCAAACCAACTGTACCATCAACACCAGATGAAAAATCAAACCAAAGTTTCTTTGGTGATCAGAGACATAATACTAGCTCACATCAGAGCAGCAAATGGACTCCTGTAGGACCAGCACCTAGCACTTCCTCGCAGTCTCAGAAACGGTCCTCGGGTTTGCAGAGCGGACACGGTAGCCAGCGTGGCAGCGGCAATAACACTAGCAGTGGTGGCCAGAGACACGACCGTGACTCCTACGGTGGCAGCAGCAGTCGCAAAAAAAGCCAGCATGGGTCTGAACACTCCAAACCCCGTTCATCCAGCCCTGGAAAACCATCTGCTGTTTCTTCTTTGAGCTCCAGTCATTCGAGATCTCACGGAAATGATCATCACAGCAAAGAACATCAACGTTCAAAATCTCCCCGGGATCCTGATGCCAACTGGGACTCTCCCTCCCGTGTACCCTCATTTTCAAGCGGACAACACTCTAATCAGTCTTTTCCACCTTCACTAATGTCCAAGTCCAGTTCAATGTTACAGAAACCCACAGCGTACGTGAGGCCGATGGATGGACAGGAATCCATGGAACCAAAGTTATCCTCTGAACACTACAGCAGTCAGACTCACAGCAGCAGCGTGAATGAGCTGAAGCCCAGCAGCAAAGCACATCTAACCAAGCTGAAAATACCTTCTCAGCCACTAGATGTAAGTGACACTCTGATTCCTGGCTTCTTAAATGTGAGTCCCTTTGGGCTGGGATTTTCCAGCTTCTTCAAAATCCCAATCTACATAACTGAAATTTAGTTTTTAGTAAACACTGGGATTTTTTGTTACGCAGAGCATCTTAAACTTATGAAGACCTGTATTTTAAATGGGGAATGTACAAAAGGAATTATTTTTTCCTTCTGCTTCTTCCATGTGAATACTGTGATTTTTATTAAATAAAGGCTACGAGACATTCAGAAAGGCTAACTTAACCCAGAGAGGCTAATTGTAGAGCATTTCTGTAGTCAGAAATTAAGACAAATAATTGTCTTAATAACTAAGACAATTATTTTGTAAGTCACAAAATAGTAGGATATTCATAAATATTTTGCCAAGCTAGATACGTACATTGTCATTACTGGCAGCCATGTTGTCTTAGACAAGTGGCACTATCTGCAGAGATCAGATTTTCTTTTGAAGTGTGTAGCAATTACTAGATGGGATTTATCCTTCACCTAGAGAAAACAAGCTAATGCTAAAGCACAGCAAATTGAGCAGAGTTCAGAACTGGTATCAGGTATGCTGGATACAATTACTATTGGGTTACCAACCTTTAGTAGATGGTAATTCCTGAATCGTGAAGGCACAGACTGTGACTACAGCTCACTGACAGGGAGAGTGCCTTCCTTAATAAAGTGTCATTGCATCTCCTGTTTAACTGCTTGAGTCATGGTAGCTAGAGAAAAGCTGTTTGTTCCTGGGATTTCAGCAAATAGCGAAATAAAATCCAGGGCACAGGTAAGGACATCTGGAAATAAATTATTTTCTTATTCCTGAAGACTTGACATGCTAATGCTGATGTATGATAGCTTTGCTGCCTTTCTGCCTGTAGCAGTCAGGGATGCAGAAGATTCATAGTTTGATAATTATTGATGTTTCTAGGTGCATGCTCCTGTGTATGTTTTACTTCATAATGCAGTTTGTCATTAGTGTGCATTCACAATCCTGCCTTTGAGTTCAGATATTATCCAGTGGCTTCTTCCAGGAAACTACTGAAAGCTACAATTCTCTTCCCCTCTCTCTAGAAGTTTTCAATATCACTGACTGCCTGTGATCACTTTAACTGTCAAGTGAAAAGTAAGAGATTACTGTGGCAGTTTTATAGATTTTATGTATTTGCTTTTCATAACTGGATGTGACTCATAGCATAAAAATCTGGATCTAGCTGATATTGAAATTAATGTTGCTGAAAAGAATTAGCGAGGTCTGTTTGTATCTATACAGAGTCCATATGAATCATGATAGGGATTAAAGTTTATTTTTAATTGTTTCTAGCCCCTGGGATCTTTTAAGGAAAATTTGCTTTAGGAGACATTAATCTTGAGTTTTGATTTGTAGGCATCAGCGTCTGGTGATGTGAGCTGTGTGGATGAAATTCTCAAAGTAAGTTCTCTGTGCTTTTGTTCATAACTTCTTTGTTGAAAATACAAACATGACTAAGGAGGTGGAAAGCACTCTGCCGTTGATGAGTGCCTTTTAAATTGACTTGGCTGCAAGTTGTTACAGGCGGGCTCTTCAATTACTGCTCTCACCAGGTAGACTGGGGAAAACTGGAGGCAGAGCTGTGTGTGAGCTGGGCACTGGGCGTTGCTGGCTGTGCACATCGTCTCCTGGAGATTCCTCACTGCGTTCCTGTTCTTCTAGGCCACCTCCCTGTTAACCTGAGCAGAATTACCCATTTCTTCCAACAAAATACAGTCCTTACATTCCGATATCTTTTTAGATTATAGTCAGTTTTTTGCTACCCCACAGCAGAAGTTTCCCTTCTCTTCTGCCTAGGTTGTTCTCTCAAGTCTTTAGCCTTCATGTGATCTCCTGGTTGTGTATCTACAATCACAAAAGAATCATCAGATTCTGCTTGAGCATTTCCATGGCTTACCATTTGCTCTGACCTTCAGTACCCCATGGTCCTTGGAGATGCTCTGAGTGAATACCAGGCACTTTCTTTCCGGCCTCAGGCATTTGATTTTCCCCTTTTTCCCCAAACTTTATAGGCTTTCCTTTCCTGGGATTCTTTTTTCTACCCCTGTATCCTGCATGTGCTCTTTGCAGTCTGAAAGGATCAGACTCTGACTTCTACTGCAGTTCATGTTCAGGCCAACCAATTTTATTGATTTATATGTTTCTGCTTTTTATTATGTCTTAACTGTCTGTTCTCATGGGTAACAATTTAAGATTTAAGGTTTATGTGCAAAATCTTTGTTACGCATTTGGGAAATTAAGAGCCGAATGTAAAGCTTAGTGAGTTGTGGACAGTGAACTGCAAATCGAGAGGCAGGGTTACCATTTGAGTCAGGATTGTAACTTGAAATCTTTGCTTTAATTTTGTTAATAGCTTTTCTTTTTTGTTCTGGTTACAGGAGATGACCCATTCTTGGCCCCCTCCTCTGACTGCTATTCATACACCGTGCAAAACCGAACCGTCAAAGTTTCCTTTTCCAACAAAGGTCAGTCCTGTATCAAATACTGAATGGTGTAATAACTCCTATTAAAGATCAGTATTTTGGAACTCTCTTAAAAATTCAATTTTGTATAGTTCTGGGTTTGTTTCAGTGCTTTGCATCTGTTTATGTTGCTTCACAACAGCTTTTGCCAGCGGTGGCCTTATGAAGAGTGTCCTCGTTTTTCCTCTCATTTACACACACACAGCAGTCTGCAAAGATGCTTTCCTTTTACTTTTTAATTTTTGTTTCATAAATTCAAACCTTCTTCAGGTTACTTCTCAAGCCTGAAAATACTATTGATCCTTTTTCCCTATTAGGGAAATGTTTTGCACCATTTTGTGTAGAAGCAAGCGTTGTATTTGCCTCTGTCTAGCAAAGCAGTGGACACTGGCTTGGAACTGCTAGGAAATTTTATTTATTCTGCATAAATATGAATTTTCCTCATAATTTTGGAGTCTACTAATACTTCTATTAGATCTCACATTTTCAGTTACAAAAAAATTAAACCAATTTTAAAATTGGATGTTTTGATAAAGAAATGTTCAGATCACTTGTTCTGAAAGTTCTCTTCCTAACCTCCCGTGTACTCAATAACTACTGAAGTGTTTAAGCTATTGATTCTGAGGAGAAATCTGTCGCTCTTTGCTGCTGTTGACAGCACAGGGCATCTTTCCAGGAGACTTGCTTGAGCTGTCACCTCTGAGGAAGGAGTTCTTTTGCTCTCCGCTGCTTGCTCCCTCCCCTGAGGCTGGATCTGGCAGCCCCAGCTGCAGGGTTTCCAGGCAGACTGGCACTGGGGATTGTTTCCCTTGAAATACAGCTCTGCAATCTGCAGTATCTGGGAAGCTGATGGGTAGGCAGGGTGGAGATAGGCAGGGTAGATAGCTGTGGGTAGCAGCTTTAGCAAGTACAGTTCAGTTTGTGACAGCTGACTCATTCAAGAATTCATGTTTTGTTTCCTGTATCTACTGATTACCAGTAAAAGATTTAAATCGACAGTATAATTTTTCTCCAGACTCAACTTATCTCTGAAATGGATTGGGGTGCTCCACCCCTCGTTTGGCATAACTTCAGAGTGAACAAATTATACTGTTTGTCTTCTAGAAGTTACCTTTCCCTTTCTGACCAGGCAGCAAGACCACCACTTGCTGCTGTCGGTTTCCTCTTTGATCCACATTCCTCCCCAAAACAGAACAGTGGAGTCTTTTAAGCTTTTTCTCTCTGAGGTCTCTAATCTCACCTCTCTAAACCAATTGTCTTATGTGAATGCTTTGACATCACCCCTTTTTTTGGCCCAAGTTTCCAGGTCCCATGTTGTAAGTGCACATCCACAACACTGGTGTGAAGTTAAATGGTTGAGGTTCTGGTACTGGCTGGGTATCCCCGAGCTGTGGGCAGTCCTGTCGTCGCCCGCTGCCTCGCGTGATCCTGCCTCACTGTGTCTTGCTTCTCTCCAGTGAGCTGCATGTGTAGAACACATGACACCATTCTCAGCTTTACTTTTGAAGGCATATCTAGAAAGAAGTGTCCTTGTATGGTTTCTTAACACTATAATGATGAGTTAGATCAATATTAATCTTGCCTGTGTCACCTTTAGTCAGGGTCTATTTTCTGTGTTACGTAAAACTGTGAACTTGGAAAGAATTCTTTCTTTTTATAGTAAAGCAAGAAATTCCACACCTTTCCTCATCACCGAGGGTACTTACTCCACTGCTTTGAATACTTATTCCTGAACCTTTGGGGAAGTATTTTCCCTTCACACACTTGTGAGCACACTGGATTGTGGGGTTACCTTGAACTGCTTGTTTCTGTGTTTCTCTGGTATTTGACTCAGTTTGGGAAGAAAGAAGGTGTGCAGAGATATATTTGTCTTTGTGATGCAGAGAGAAACTATGTAAGATTGCACAGCCTTGTTGATGTTTGAACAAAAAAGATAGGTTGTGGGGTTTTTTTGAACCTATTGACCTGGATTGTGTTTCTTCACCCGGTTTGCAAAAAATTCCATTTATGGCTGCTCTGAGTCTTTTGACTTCTTGCCAGTTTTTTTATTTTGTGGCTGCACATCTTAGCCATGGAACTTTGTCAACTTCTGTCTCCGCATCCAAAGGCTGTAATTTCCTCTGCTCTGTCATTCTTGGCAGCAGGATCTTCTCAGAATTCCAGTGAGTTATCGAGCCATAGGCCTGTGCAGTCTGGACCCAGAGAAGAATTCAGAAAACAAAACAAAACAGTGGTTTACTTTAGTCAGGCAGTACATTTTGAGGAAAGCTTGTTCTCTTTAATACTGTGCTCGATTTATTTACAAGTAACGTGCTGCAGTGTTTCACAGCATTCCTCTTGTGTGCAGAAGTTGGGTTGTGTTTGACCCACACATCTAAAATTAAGCTGCCTTTGGTGGACCAGTCAATTTTATTTGTAAGACTGTTGGGATTAGCTGACTTTCCCTGTGTGTACACAGGGAGTAACTTAAAGGGATCCAGACTCCTAACCAGGGCCTCTCTGCATTTGCTATAAATATATGTAATAATTGTCAGGAAGTCTTTGAATCAGAAGATAAAACTTCCATGAAAATAGGTCAGAGAAAGTTTTGTGGATGCTATGAAAAAAGCTGAGATTCCTGAGCCTCGATTAAAAATGTTATCCAATGACCTAGCACTCTATAATTTTATCCTTTTTTCAAGCTGTGGGCTCGCAGTCAAAAACTCCAAGAATACTGGCTTGTTTGTAGAATATATTTAAAACCCCAGCTATTTCTTAGAGGGTGGAAGTTTTTTGTTTCAAAGCAGCGTGAGTGAGTTTTTGTACCTGTGTGGTGACCTCCAGGCACCTCTGAAGAGCTGGATTCTGTCTCCAGGTTTGTTGAGCATCTGCCCAGTGCTGGAGATACTGAGAACACCAGCAGTCAAGTCCTTTGATCCACTGTAATACAGAAACTTTCTTCTGAGAAATAAAAATGAGATCTGACCTGAGATTTCAAACATGCAGTGGAAATGGTGCCACTCACCATAGCTGGGCTACAGCCAAGCTGGTAACCAACAGATGAGAATTTGGTACCCAAAAACTGTTTTTCCCTCCACAGTTTTTGTGTTTGAGTACAAGCTGCAATTTTGTTTCCTGCTCAAGTATCTTCACTATTTAACCTGAGCAGTCTTATTATACTTTGGTTAAAAGAGTTTCCTTCCTTTTAAGTTGTTTGAAATGTCTTCTTTCCGAAGCAGAGCGTTAGAAGATGCTGCTATAAATAACTTTGGAGTTGAAAGCGTTGCTTTTTTTTAATCTCAGAGTTTGTTAAAGAAATATGTATTCAAAAACAAAATAGATGGCAAGAGAGCTGGAAAAAGTTGCACATTTAAACGTAACAGCTCGTTAAAGTGCACTTAACTGAAAGGCTTAACTGTGCCGGAGAAATAGGAAGTTGACTCAAGTGAACAATTAGGCAGGTGCTTTCTGTAGAATTTGTGTTGGTAAGAAAGGATGCTGGTTCCTCATCTTGAGCTCACCCCAGCAGTTGCTCTGTAGATGTGGTGTTTGATTGCCCTGTGGTCTTGACTTCTTTTTTGACTTGTAGTTTGTCAGCTTGTGCAAGCTGACAATGGGAAAAGGCAGTCGGGGAATCACGCTTGTCCTCCCTGTACCTATGTAAAAGAGAAAAGCCACTTCTAACTTTGAAGGAAGTGTAGCTGTTGCTTTCTGTTGAAGTCACAAGGCTTCTCTCCAACTTCATCCTCACTTTGCATTTTAAAACATGGGTTAATTTGATTTTTATCGTCTCTTCCTTTCTTTAAATTAGTGAAGATCAGAAGCATTTCAAACGCCTTAAAAGGGAAGCTCCTTATCAAGTCCCCTATCAAAAAAACACTTGTTCAGTGCATTATTGCAACTGCTTTCACTTTTGAAATAAAAAGTTAAAGGAAATTAGCAATATCTAAGAGTGCCTCGCTGAGTAAAACCTTTGTGTGTTTAAAAGAATTAAATTTTGTAAATTGTGTGTATAACTGCTGCATGTCACTGACTTGTTTGGGAAAACTGGTTCACGGGTATACCAAAAAAACCGGATTTCATTGCTGAATTGTTATTCTGGGTTGCCATTGCCAGAGCATTTAAGTAAAATGTATGTGTCTGTCTTTATGAATTGAGTCAAACATTTTACTTTTTTATTTATGGGGCCAGCATTTGTCCTCATTTTAAAATGAGGTCAGGAAAGGTCCTATTTTAAAATGGCACTCTAGCCTGGAAGTAGGTTTTCAGTAACTCGGTAGCCTCTGCATATTTGTTTGTTAAAGCAATATTTTAGTGTTTTTTAAAAATTGATAATCTAATTGATAATGTTTTGGGAGACAGAGTTGGGCTTTCTGGAGTGGGAATGCTGAAGATCATACAGGTGCTAAAATTTGCAAGGCTTCATCTTTCAAGGCTAGATTTATAGGTAACAGATTGATTATCTGTCAAAGGAAGTTACAGATGATTGTTTATTGGCTTTTGGACAAGTGAATTGTCTGATTACATGAAGATTTGGCCTTTGAGGGGGGAGACTTGATGTCCTGGTCAGCTGTGCCTGGCTGCATGTACCAGGGATTTGCAGGGAGCTGTTGCAAGAAGGGGTTTTTGGGCAGAGCTGTTCAGATTTTAAGTTTAATTGTCTCCTGGGCTCCTTTGCAGCTGCGATTTTGTTGTTGTTGTTGTTGTTGATGGGTTGTAACTATACTCATTGCTTGTCCACTGTGATGCTGTGTATGTCTGAAAAAGAAAAATGCAGAGGAAAGAATTTGAATGAAAATTCATAAAACTAGCAACAAAGCTTGTCCGTGTGTGAGGAAGATAAAGAGAAACATACCAAGTGATTCCTCTCCATGCTGAACACAGCTGAAGACAGGATTTATGGAGGTTACGTAGGGATTTTGGAGTTCCAGCTGCCATGGAGTACAACTGCTCATGGCCCTTCTTAATCCAACAAGTGGGAGAGCTGGGCTGAGGAAGAGGAGCGTGAAGCACTCCTTCCCTGGACTGGCTCTGCTGTTACGGCTGGTGACAGGAGTTTTGGGGCCCAGATAAAGAATCTCTCTTTCCATTTTGCTGTTAGCGTTTGTCTATTTTTAGAGGTTGGGTGCCATCCTTTAAGTGGAGAGAATATGTTGCTTAAAGCATGGGTTTTAATATGGTAAAATTCCCAGTGAGAAAAACCTTTTGTGATCTTTTATTCCCTTAGGAGTCTCAACAGTCCAGTTTTGGCACTGGAGAACAGAGTAAGTATATTAAACTTCCTGTAATATGTTTAATGTTTTTGTTGTGATTCAGTATTCTTAGTATGTCGTGTTTTTTAAAAGAATGAGATTTTCCAGACTGGTCATAGGATGGAGTCTTAAGATTTCTGTATTTTCTCAAGTTTTAACTTATAAAACAATGGCTTGGTTTTCTTTTTCATTTCGTGTTGAGATCTAGGAAGTTAAGACTGAGTTGTCAAGGTTGTTACTATCTTCTAGGGAAAAATAAAATTATTTCTAATTTGTCACAATTTCTAATTCTTGGAAAAAAATGCCTCCTTGATCTAATTGAAAGTAGCTGAATACTAAAACAAAACCCCCTTTAAAAAACCCAACTCTCTGCTTGGGGACATATTATAAACAAAAATAGCACTTGTGTGTATATTTCAATAGAAAAAGCACATTGGAGTTTCACTGTTTGTTTTCACTTTGTAATTTTATAATCGAGCAAGAACTAGTCAAGAACTCTCATAGTGATATGCTCAGCAATATCCTTCAATTTCTTGTCCCAGAATGCACTTTCAGATTTTAGACAAAAGCAGCTTTTACTTCTCTTTAACTGTATTATTGTTTTGAATGTTACTGAATTTAATAATTTAACACAGGTGACATACAAGGTAAAATTGCATTAGATTTGTGCTGTTACCTCCCAAAAGTCTGTCCACCACTTCTTGAAGTGATTAAACAGATGAAATAGTAAAAGAAGAATGGTTTATTCTTAGATATTCACAAGCAGCTTAGTCTAAACACCTAATACAGTGGGGAATTAAGGAAACAAATTAAAACTTAATTCCATAATGCCAAACCATAGACTTACGTTATAGTTGCAGCTGATCTTTAGGTGCGTAAAGAGAGAGGCAAGGTTAGGCAAACCACAGGGCCAGTCTTTTAACTTCTATTTCAATTTTCTGGGCAACTTTTTAACAGCCTCTGTTCTTGTTTCTGTTGAGCAACACTTAGCAATTTGCCAGGATTAAAGAAAGGTGAAGGAACCCCCCCCCAAACCAAAAACCAGATGATATCAGTATGTATTCCTGTTGTAAGGATTGGGTTCTGAGTTTGATTTCTGGATCTGAAGGTTGCTTGTCCACTAAAAACCTGCGTAGGGCTGCTGAAACAAGTCAGAGCTTGGCAGGCTGATCTATATCCTGTATCCTGCATGTAGAAGGCAGTAGATTAATCTTGATAGAAGGAAAACAGTTTTTCACACCATTAATAACAAATTAAGTGTGTATTAGTTTACACAGCAATGATTTAAATAATTTTCTAGATTTTCTTGATTAAATTATTTGCTGTATTTAGTGTTTTATCTCTGCATCCACTCACTTCTTCAGTCTGTGGGAGATTATACCTGGCATCAACTAGTTACTGCTTTCTCCTTGTCTGCTCAGCCGTTCTTGGTTTATCTAAGACTGAGTACTTCTGGCAGCTGGGGAGTGACTTATTTTGCTGGCTGAGTTTTCAACTGTGCCTTTCTTTTTTTCTTCTTCTAGAACGATATAATCCTTCATCAAAAACATCCAACGGTCATCAGTCCAAATCGTAAGTGGCTGTTGAGAAAAGATTTCTCAAATAACAGTCGATTTTAAGAGACTTGGAAAATAGCTGTTTCTTTTACTAGAATGTGTCAGTTCTTGCACAGACTCTTTAGCATATTTCTCCTTGACTGGCAGGAAAAGGGGATCATTTGTAAGCAGCCATTTTCTGGGTCAGTAGACCAAATAATGGCACAGCGGAGTGAATAACAAACACACCGTGCTGCCTTTCCAATCCCCTGCTTTCTTGTCAGTTGTCAGGATAGGTGTGCAAGAGTTTGGACCTCGGAATTGGCTTGTGAACCAGAAAGGTATCAGCAGATAAGAACGGGCAGGGTGGGACGGGACTTATCAAATGTGCACATTGCAGAGCTGTCAGCTGGAAGCAGCTTGTGGTGGTTGCACAAGTGGATGGGATGGGGAACTGTTTTATATTGGAGCAGACAGTAAACTCTGTTTGGGGTCCTGTTATTCTAGCAAATACTTCTATTAGTTATGCACATGGACCCAACATTTTACTTTGCCAATCATGCAACTGGGAGAAGAATTACAAAGCAACTGGAATATTCTAGGTGTCTGTAGTCCGCCTTTCTTATACCTAAAAATCAATTGCATGCTGTTAAAAGATTGTTTCCAAACAACTATGTCCATGAAAATAAAAGATTTACCAGCTGATTGTATGTTTAATGAAAGTGGTTGTAGATTCTGAAAACCTGGTATTCGAAGTTAACGTTGGTTGTGATGCAGTCACAAAATGAAGTCGGGTTCTTCTGCTTGTCTGCGCGCACGTTATGGTATTAGCAAGATGAAAAAGCACCTGACCTATGGGAAGGGCATAGAACAAAAAGAAAACTCCCTCAGTTATTACAGACTGACAGTCAGTTTTCCAAAAACATGTATTTTGAGAAGATGCTCTTATGCAGCCAGTTCAACAAGTGGTAGAAGTAGAAGTTGACCATTTGGCTTTGCTTTTGTCATCGCAGTATAGACCTCTGAGAAGGATCTGTGCTGTCTCCAAAGCTGGAGAACGTCTAAGAGCAAGAGATAACACTGGACATCTATTGAACTGGGATGCACTGAGAATATGTTTACTGTGACAATACAGTTTTAAATTTAAAATTTAAAAAAAAATGATCTGGTAAAAAACCTTTTAAAAAGGAGATAAATGCGTCTTTTGTAAAAGGATAGCAATGGAAAGCACTTTGGGAGCTAGATCCTAGAGGCTGATGTTTCTTTTCAGATCATCAGTAGAACAGCTGTACTGTGAAACTCAGAAATATTAGACTTTTAATCTTTTCTCTTTTTCTTTCTCCAGATGTGAATCGAACCAGACAGAGTAAGATATTTTATTTTTCTAATCAAAAATGTTTTTCAATAAGCACAAAGGCCCTGTACCTTGCTTTGTGTTTCAGCGTCTTCACATGATTTCGTTATTGTGAAATAGTCTATGTATGACTACCATAAATAATTATAGCTTTAACTAATAATGAAATAATTATGGCTTAGAAGAGTTGCACTGTTGCCACGGGACAGGAAATAGCCACTAGTGCTAGCTTTCTTGATTCCATTTAAAACAGGATTCTTGGCCTTTGTGTATAAAAAGTTGAACGTGCACAAGTTAGCTCCTCCCATATTAGTAAATTGTGTTGAATTTCCTTTCAAAATTTAACAGAATGGACTAAGGAGTCAAAGTACTAGAATCCTTACTCTGCACTAAAGAATGACTTACCTCACCATTCTTAAACATTAAATGCTAGAATGGTATCTTGTGGCTTTCACCCACGCAGCCCGCTTCGTAGTATAAACAATAGCATGTTGAAATATAGAAGAATGTTTTGAATGTAATTAAAGTACGTGGAAAAACTTGTCTCACTTTCTCCCTTTTTTTCTTAGTATGTTGAAAGATGACTTAAAACTTAGCAGTAGTGAAGACAGCGATGGAGAGCAGGTATGTTCAATAAATCAGAGTTTCACA